CGGAGCAGGGTTGCAGGAGGGGGAGGGCTGCGGGATGCGGCCCGGGGCACTGGGATCCCGGCCTGCAGGGAGCCAAGGCACAAATCCGCCCGGAGGCGACGTCTTGGGAGGGAGCGTGGAGGGGAAAAGGGGCCTCCAGACACTTTATTTTTAGCTTTTTAAAGCAGGAAGGGTTGAGGGGGAGGAAAAAGAAAAAGAAAATTGTGGTGGAGCTGCCAGCAAACGCAGAATTCATGGAAAGTTGGAGCGGCTCTGGCTGCACGGACACAGCCGCAGCGTCGGAGCGAGCGGGAGGGTGCAGGGCAAAGCCCCCCGGCCAGCTGTGCTCCAGCTCCTTCCCGCACATCTGGGCATGCCGGAGCGGGGCAACACGGAGCTTTGGGAAGCTGGAAGGGGACCAAGGCACAGGGATTAAGGCAGTGCCTCCTGCCCTGCCTCCGGATTGCAGCTGCTCCACCGGGAGCCGGCCGTGCTCGCCGGGCGCTCACAAGCTCCCATGGACCGATCCATGAGCCGCGGCTCATTCCTGCATCCCAGTGCCGGGAACGGGTCCCTGGTGCCACCATGACTCCCATGGGCCCAGGTGTCCCTGGGTGTCCCCAAGCAGCGGGTGCGGGAGGAAAGGCGGGTTGGGAAAAACCTCGGCACTGGGAATGTGGCAAAGCGGCTTCTCCCAGCCCCTGAGTCATCGGTGCCGCCAGGCCCGGGCCAAATCACCAGGATAAACACGGGCTGGTCTCCTAGCGAGGGAGCCATAAACAGCCCCGCAACGTATAGCGAGGGGAACATCCGCACGGCGCCGGCATCCTGCCGGGCACCGGAGCCGCTGCGCCGCTCGCTCCCGGCGCGCCTGCGTCCCCCCCATGCAGCAGGAAAAGCCACTCGGCATCCCTGAAGGGCTGACATTGCCCTTCCCAAAATTGGGATGCTCCCCTTTGCTCGCCCGCCAAAAATGAGGCAAAACTCTGCGAGCCAGAAGGGCCACGATGGATTCGTCGGTCTGTCCCTGGCAATGGAGAGACCTGCCTGGCCTGGGCTTTCCCAGTGCGATCATCCCTGCCCATTCCCAAACGCTGTTGGGAGCAGCGGGCACAGACAAGTGACCAGTGCAGGGGGACATGGCCAAGGGGGACTGGGATCCGTGCACGAATATTCCCTGGAGGAAAAGCGGTCGGTGTTCTCTGTGTGGATGAGGGGATTTTCCTCCCCCTTCCCCTCTCCTCCCCGTAACTGCTTAAAAGCCACCAGAAATGGGATTTTTTGGGGAAAAACCGCCACATCAAAAAGCCTCCCGCGCCCTGCGCTGCCTGGGGAGCCCCTGTGTCACTCCCGTCCTGCCGGTCCTGCCAGCGCCGGTGACTCATCCCGGCTGGAAATGGAAATCCCGTGTCACCCTCTGCGTGCAGAGCCCCAGCGTCCCCAGGCGAAGGCGGGGACACCTCGGGAGAGGGGACAGCGAGCGCGAAGCCACCCCAGAGCCACAGGCACGATGCAGCTGCCCCCGTTTTCCATAGATTTGGGCATGCAAAGCTGCCCGCCGGGCGCATTTCCCTACGGAACAAGAGGGGAATTGTTGGCTCCAGCTGCCACTGCCGCTGTCGTGGCCGGGGACAAAACGGCTCACAC